GGGAAATTGAGCTTAATAACCAAACAAAAAACAATAATTAAAAAATTAATTAGTTGACCTAGATCTAATGGTTGATTTTTTTGCTACATATCCTAACTTTTGTTACTTTCTTGATTATTAGTTTTTTTTTGTTATCTAGCAAATTAGCCTTTACTTTTTTCTTTTTAATTTTTTTACAAACAAAATTTCTGTTTATTTTTTGGGTAAATAAGCAAAATAACCCAATTGTATTATTTATTTAGGTCAATAACTTCAATGGCAAATTTGTATATAAGTAAACATATGATTTGGCGCAATATTGGGTAAATATGCAAAAAACCCAATTGTAAGTGGGAGGAATAAATGGAAAATTAAGAAAAGAAAAAAAAAGTGGAACTAGCATTCTTTCCACCGTGTTCTTCTTCTATTTTCAGGAGTAACATGTCTAGAAAAATTTAATTTATTTTCCTCTCATTTGATAGGATCCACTAAAATTTGGAAAAAAAAAGTTAATCTAAATAGTAGAATTGTAGAAGAATTAAAAAGAATAGTGAATTGCACCCAATATTTTTCCTCTAATGTGTCAATCATTTGCACTTTTAATATAAAGAATGTTGTTTGCATTAATGAATATATATGTGGTAACGTATTATCAAAGTATAAGTAAAATAAAATGGTATAATGAAATGACATCAACTTAATATATTATGTTGCCCAGAAAAAAATATCATGTTGTCATATAAAATAATAATTTATTTGTTTTTATCGAACGTTGAATTGTTAACTTTTTTTTACATAGTGTTTTAGCTAATTATAAATCGTGGGAGTTTCAAAATTTTGGTTAATAATCTCTTCGGTATTCAGAGTCAATCTTTAAATATTTTCGATTTTAAAAGTAACTCTTCATACCAAAGGAGGTTTAAATCTGGAACACATATAAAAATCAATCCGTTGTGTTACCATCAAGATCTAATCAAAAAGTTTCATAGTCATTATAGACAAAAATGAGCTACTAGTGCATATATCCTCTCTTTTTTTTTAACCAACATTTAACTAATTTCGCTGTATATTTACCTTTGAATTAGGTTTGCGAAGGTAAAACATGAAAACATGCTAATCAAAGGTTTTTTTGTTTTAAAGAAGGTAAAACATGAAAAGGTGCACAAAATATGGTTGCTATTACTAACTATGCGGAAGTCATATATAGCTACGATTCAAAAGGAATAAAAAACTAAGTGCCTGGATCTTGAAAGGTAGCATACATCTTTTCAAGGTTATTATGGATTTGTGTAAAAGAAGTCAGATCATTGATTCATTGTTGATGAGATCAAATTACAAAAAGAGAGGCTATCTTTTTACGTTCTGTATAAATTATATAAGCGTTGGTATAGGCCATATATAACACGTATACTTGAGCATATATTGAGCATCCACAATGATAGAGTCTCTCCAAAAGAGTTATACTCTATAA